AAACAGTCCTCGGGCCTGGCAGGTTCAATTGAACAGAAGCTATAGTCTTTGATGGGCCCGCGGGCCTGCCAAAGCTCTTGATCCGGGCCCGAGGGATCATTGATGGATATCTCGAGTGCCCTCGGGCATGAATGGCATGTCCCCGAGGCTTGACAAGATGGATATCAGTCATCCCCTTGAAGAATCGGACCTTGTGGACTCAATGCTGAGTCTGGACCATGGTCTGGGCCCCCAAGCCGAGCAGAAACGTTGTAACAATGCCTCGGCATGTCAAATGTCAAAGGCATGATGTAAAATCATTAAGCCAGCCGGCCTCATCATCCTGAGCCGAGAAATGGCCCGAAATAGGTCATCATTGATGACAGATCTCGGCAGAACACTAGGAATCAGCCCGGCAGGGCACGGAATTGCTCCGAGATTATAAACACCCCACCTCAGTTTACTCATTTCTTATGACTTGGATTGGGCCTCTTCGAGGCGGGTGCTGAACCTTTAGGGGGTAACACTTTCATGTACACTTACAGCTGTTTGTAAAACTATTTTTTCAAGACAGAGCAACTTGGATGCACCGACTTTCCACGCCTGTTTCTCACTTAATTCCTGTCCGATTGGGTTTATTTTTTGAGTGCGTTGTAAAGGGTTTAGAGAGGGCACTTATACGGTATCCCATTTACTGGCTAGGTGGGAATTGAGGTATGTCAAAACTCACCCTCATGGGTTTCAAGCAGACAGTGAATGTCCCGCCGAACCAAGGTGTGATTTCGATCTACATGGGTGAATGCCTTCCTGCGGGCTCTCAGAGTATCTGGGACAGCGTCTGATGCATCACCAATAATTGCCACTACTTACGCTCCCAGAAACGTTTGGATTCAAGCAAATTGGTTCAGAATTGATTGAAAAATAGCAGTAAGTTGTGCAAATTCAAGCCTGACAAGCCACTGTAGAGCATTCTCTGTGCACTCGCATATACATTCAAAGACTAATCATGCGCAGCCGATGGCCAGATCCTATGACTATCAAATGTATTGCAACGTTCTCTAGAGCTCAGGGCCGTTGGGCTGGACCTACTGAAAGTTAGAATTTCATAAGGCATGTTGATCTGAGTGAGAAATGTGCACCAAGTTGTCCTAGGTGGTTGTTTACAGAGCTCAGAATCAATCAAAAACACAGTGGTAGCACATCACAGAATGTGGCCAGACGACATGCAAGAGGAAGCAATACAACATGTGAGGTATCACAAGTTCAATCTTTACCCGAGAAGGCTTGGTGCACACATTAGGGTCGTTCACAGTAGCCCTTTTTCCTTCCTTTTTGGTATTCCCATCGTTTTTTGCTCGGTTTTTTTTTCCTTTTCAGTTTAGCTATGTAAAAAGGTGTGAAAAGGGAAAAGGAACCATGTATAAGTGCAAAACCCACGGAAAACCAGAGAAAAAGGAGGTGAAAAAGGGAAGAAAAAAGGGCTACTGTGAAACCCCCCACGTGAACTCCCATTTTTCTGCCCTTTTTGCTTCCTTTTTTTTAAAAATCTTGTAGCAGATACTACGACTCTGGGGCTCACGACCGACTTTCTGAAGGTACCTTTCAAACATGTATGGTCCCAATAAGTCCAAGGGAGTGTAAATTTAATATATGTAATTTATTTATTGGTGTACTTGAAAAAAGGACTGGTGAGCAGAAAAAGGAACAGAAAAAGGGAGACAAAAAGGCCAGGAAAAAGGGAACTGGGAACGACCCTATTACCGGCAAAAGACAAAAATAAAAAGGGATGTGACTAAACTTGTGTACAAGCACATGTCGCTTAAGTGGTCTCCAGGACACAGCTGAAGCAAGGACGGTAAGCTTGAATGACTAACCACCGGATACTGTCCCGAACACAAAGCAGAAATGACTAGTCCACTAAAATTGAACACGGAGAATATCTTTGGTTCCAGGGGATTGAATGAGATGGTACAGGAGAATTCAAGCTGTTACCAAGGTTGTTGAAATATATCCTTGCATTTTGATTTTTCCTCGGTCTTCACCCATTTTCTGGGGATTTATTTTGTGATGACCGATTGTTGCTGACTAAATGTTGTTTGTACTTGTAGCAGAAAATGGAACAAAATCGATCTTCTCCAGGGCAGCTAAACCTAAAGGTTCAGCCAATGACTTGGGATTAGGCCTCTCCGAGGCGGGTACTGAACCTTTAGGAATTATTTCGCATTCCCCTTCAAAATTTGAGCAAACCTGACTGACTTGTTTGATGATTCTAGGTAGTCAGTCTCCTGTAGTCAGACTCAATAAACTTAAATTCAGATCGTCGGAATCTGATCAAAGTTGCAGGGATCGAACTGGACTTGAGAAAACAACCTGTCTGAGTATGTAGCACTAGCAGGGACTCGCAGTGCTCCACTATGAAAAATTGGAGTCTATGTTATCCATGAGAACTAAAATCAGGATGATACTCAGTGGTAACAATCAGATATCCTTTGGTCGTTGAGCAATGAATAAAGACCCAGAAAATTTTCAGTTTCAGTTTGCGGACACTCGTGTCCAGTTCCTCGGGCACATGGACAGATACTCAGAAAAGGAATATGGAGTGAAAATCAAACACCCCTTCTAGGTGTCCAGAATTACTTAAGAAAAGTAAAAAATATGACCTGTACATGAAACAGTACACACCTACGGGCAAGGCAATTCAATCAATTGAGAGGAAGGGAGGGTGAGCAGGAAATTTGACAGCCCATGTGTACTTGTAGGCAGTTTCTCGTGTGCAGAAAAAATTGACCACTGGAGAATTTTGATCTGAGAAACGGACAGCTCATGGCGAGCGAAAGTAACATAAAATATGAAGTACGGGTTCAGCCTGCATCAAGTCAGGACAGAACACTGCATGGTAAATTGAAAATTTTAGCCTGCACTCATGGCCTTGTTGAAGAGGAACAGTATATCACAGAAGATGAAAAAAGCAAAGATCAGGGCCAAATTGAGCATCCCGCACTCGTAGGCGGTTTCTCAAGTTCCGAATCAATTCATTGGAAAACTATGAGCCAGAGATTTTGAGGACAACTGATAAGGTCCAAAGGAACAGTGAACACAACAGGCTAGGCCACGCCCATGAGAACTTTTATTGTATCCAAACCAATTAAATACTTGAGAAGCTGCAGCAGACCGATGTGATCGGTAGCCTCAGGTGCAAATAAAGACCCACTGAGCTCAAGCTTGTTTGCAATAGCCATCAATCAGTTTACTTCGTAGAGAGAGAGATAAATAAGGCCCCTGGAAAAACAGTGAAATGAATCAGGGATTTTTCAAAATTTTGTGTGTGAAATTTTTCAAAGTTGTGCATGAAATAATAAAACGCCAGGGGAATTTTCCAGAGGATCATACAATACCTTATTCCAGCTTGCTGCCCTTGATTATGCTTGGAGGTCTATCAAGAACATAAGTTGGGCATCAGACATGGGATGGGCAAAAAGCATCTCAAACTCTCAAACATTACTATGCACCAGGTTTTCCATGAAATAAAAAAAATTGCAGGTGCTCAAATCAAGAACATTAGAAGTTTGAAAGAGTAATATACCACCATCACTGCCTAAGGCGCTTGAAACACGTCCTTGAGCAAACCCCTTTGCGGCACATGGTCGTGCCACCATGACAAGCCTGATCAAGAACTCTCTCACGTCAATGGACACTGGCCCGAACATGAAGTAGAAATGACTAATAACAGAAATTTTGAACTTGAGAATTTCTTTGGTTTCAGCAGATGAAATGTGCTCATACACAAGAAATAAGGTGGATATCAAGTTGAAAAACATATCTTGGCACTGTGATTTATCTCTACGTCTTGCCCCATTTTCTCTGGATTTTATTCCTGCGATGACCAATGGTGCATGACTAAATTTTTGTTTGTACATGTAGCAAAAGTTACCGAAATCCATGTTCCCCAGGGTAGCCAAACCTAAAGGTTCAGCAATTACTGTTCTGTTCTGTCTGTGTAGTATAAAAGGCCTGTAAATATTCATATTTCAGTACTGCACCTTCCTCCCCCCATTGCTGAGGCCAAGGGGCAGCCACCGGAAGAAGCCGGGACACAGTCTCATAGGATAGGGTGGGTCCGGGACCCGTTATTTCACTTTTTGGAATTTGTTCGGAGGGCTCTGAAAACACGTTTAGGAGGGTCAGAAAAAAATTGCATTTTTTGGGGTACATTTCGGGGTGGTGCTGTGCAGAATATCCCTTCTGCACAACGAAATCGACCCAAAACATCACAAGATTCACGCAGAACAGCCTACATCAAGTGCAGATTTCAGCACAAAATTCCCTTTTCCGTTACTTTCCCTGGGAAAATTACCCGATTTGGGTGCGGCTGTGCTTGGCTAATAGGGTAGGATGGTCTTACTGCACTTTTCCGACCCTGTGTGGCAAATTTTGAGGATGACTGCCCCTTGGCTGAGGCTCTGGCCAAGGCTTTGGGTCGGAGTGGGTGTAGTCTGAACCTCCTTTGTGTTGTTCTAATAGAAATTGTGTTGTTGGGGATAAAATTTTAAGGTTAATTAAGTCAAGTGCTTTTGGTTTGAAAAATCCTTACTTCGAACTGTCGATTTAAGGTGCTCTCCAGTCGCAACACACCCTCTGTAATCACGAAACGACGCCCCATTCCATAGATAAAAGAAACACACGACACCGGTAGGATTCGAACCTACGCGGGTGTCCTGTTGAACTGGTGCGAAACCCGGAGACATTTTTTATTCGAACCCTGGCAGCGTCGTCGGCTACACATGAAAACCACTCGGCCATGGCATGACCGTCTTTTGGAACCACTCGGCCATGGCCTCAGCGGAACAAACAATGTGTTGGATTGAACAAATAAACCTCGGCCGCCGTCCTCATGTTCTCAGAAGAACAAATAAACGTTTCAATTGGAACAAATAAAATTCTTGGCCTCTCAACGCAGATAAAAACGATAAACCTCATGTTCTCAGAAGAACAAATAAACGTTTCAACTGGAACAAACAAAACGACACCCGTAGGATTCGAACCTACGCGGGAAAATCCCAATAGATGAAGACGGCTTTGCTCTAGATTCTAATCTATCGCCTTAACCACTCGGCCAGGGTGTCATTCCCAGTTTGGGGTCCTTCTTACCTCTATCCCCATGGCTGAATAAAAGATGCGGGCTACTGCTTCGCAGCCTATGTGATTGCCCGTTTGTCCCCATGACGCATTGCTCGTAAATACCCTACAGTGGTCTGCGTGTGTTCGTGAGGAAACATGCAAACAATTTTTTTCTCGCCGCAGCACGTGATCAGTGCCGCAGATGGCGGAACGTTCAAATCTACACAAGAGCCTTGGTCTCAGGGTCCGAAGCACTCTTCAGGTGCACAAGAGTAGTGTTGATAGAAAGCCGGTCAATCCGGACTAATTTTACTGGGTTATGGAGTGTTCGGACCCACCGGTGTGGCGAAAGAGAGAGAGAGAGAGACGAAGAAGGGGAAAAAAAAGAACATAAGCAAAGCACTGTAATCTGTAGCAAATGTAACCACTCCGCACGGACTCCACAGGGTTGAATACCGGAAATGGCTTGCGGAACAAAACTTGTCAATGTGCACGACGGTGCTTATTCGACTCGGAGCCATTCCCATGATGGTGTGCTGCAATTAAAGAAAGCAGGCGGCGTGATTAATAAGGGACATCAGGATGTATCACGTACTGTAGCATCAGCTCGGTGGTGAGTTATCATGTTATATTAGTAGTACTCATGAAGCGATGAAATGAATAAGTATCTCGACGTATCACGTAGATCTCCTGGGCCGGGAAACGAACTCCCATATGCATAATGCGGAATCCTGCTCGGAGAAATAGAAGTCAGTCCAAGGTAAGAATCCAGACATACTCGTGGTTACCGTGTCTCTGCATTTCAAGTGTGCTTTTAGGTACCCGAGTGACCGGAGAAATATGCACGAATACTCGGGTGGGTATTAGTTCTGCATAAAGATTGCCAATGATTGAAAAAGTACCGCGCCTTGTTCATTGATGGTGCAGAAAGAGGACATCTCCCCAAGTAAATTTGGATGTGCAGTGGGGCGTAGTGCGAACGCAGCAATAAAATTGGAATCTGATTCACGATGGATTCCGTTGGTGAGATTAACATGCCCGAGGAACCGATTCCCGTCCTGGATTTGCAAGTACATTGCGCGGGGCGTTGTTTTGGCGACCGCACAGGAGGAGAGGAGGTCGGAGCGTCTTTGGTGTCTGGATTCCAGTATGGACGGATTCCGAGTCGCAACAGTCCCAGCCGAGAGTCGGCGGAAAGAGACCATTGACAAAGATGGACGAACGCATTTTGTCAAGTTTTTCAATCCCAGTGGACATACTTTCCGCTCAACGTTCAACATTTGAGGATGAAGACTCGGAGGCGGACTCGAGCTGGCTAGTGAGCGAGGAGATGAAATTCGAGTGTGTCTTCCTTATAGTGTATACGCCACCGTGCGCCAGACGTAGTTGTGCGCAGACCGCGGCAGGACACGACGTACTCACCCGTATTGGGATCAAGGAAACTTGAAATTCATGCCTGAAATCTCCTCCACTGTTGAGATGCGTTCACGACACGGCGGTGCTAACCTGTTCTTCGTCGTTAGAATCTCCAACTCTGTCTCGGACACCGTGTTCAGGCGGGAGCGTATGATACCTGGGATGGGCCGCATGGCATCGGCATACACCGGCAGCGGCTGCCGTCGTTCTATATTCCACCCCAAACACCGCTGCCTCCTATCAACGGCCGCGCAGATCTCGCCATGGTCGCGCGGGAGGTCCTCCACGACACCGAGCTGATTGATGTCCCCCACCTGAGCAGCACGAGCGAAAAAATCCTTGTCCGATGTAAAATGCGAGCTGAAGCGAGTGAGCGTCTGGTAGTCCCCGTCCCACATGAAGTATTGCGTGCCCGCGGCGAAGAGAAGGACTGGATCGGCGGAGTTGTAGTACGCGAGCGGGCGCACGTTGGCAGATGTGTGGGTGGAGGGGAATCGGAACACGTCGCCCACGATGACTTGCAGCGGGCAGCGGTTGAACCACTCGAAGGGGATAAAGAAGAGGTCGACGTCGCCAAACTTTTCCCAGTCGCATGAGAACGGAAAGGGAACGACGTCGGGGGGAAGGTGGGGAATGCGGCGGCGAGGACGGCGGGGAGGTTGGTGGAGGAGGGGACGCGGCAGGGGAGGCTCAGACGAGGAGCACCGGCCGCGGGGGGTTGCCGGGGTTGAGGGTGGGGGTTTGCGAGTTGCTGCTCCCGCCAGGCGGCCAATGTGCGGGTCCTGCTTAGTAAGCGCGATAGAAAGGAAATACGGCTACGGCGTACGCACAGGGCAGGCGCTGGGCGCGACGCGCAGGAAGAGAGGTGCCGTACGCGTAGAAGGAGCCGGTGCATCATGACCGCGGTTGCGTCCGAGCTTCAAGCTGCTTCAAGCCGTACACTGTGTCGCGTCCACGTGCTTCCAAAACACGGCCAACCTTTGAAGATTGATGCGGTCCGAACTAATAGTAAATGCACATGCAATTTTTGTCTTTGTAGTCTTCTTCACATAGTTGTCAATAGTGCCGTTCAAAGTTCTCTTACTCGGCCTCCTCTTCCTGGGAGCAATTGAAGCAGGAGGTCGAGTAGGAGCCCAAGAAGGAGCTTCAGAGCTCCTTTTTGGAAAAAAATCTCCTACTCGTGCTTCTACTCACTCTCCCACTCGCATTTCGAGTGTGTTTTTGTGTTTTTTGAGTAGGAAAGTCTTCCTACTTGTCTTCTACTCATAAAATGGCTGGGGATGGGTTTCAAAGATGCTCCTACTCGATCTCCTACTTTCTCTCCAACTGTGTCCATTTTCGCCATTTTACAGCCAAAAGTGCAAGTAGGAGACAAGTAGGAGGCACAGTAGAAGGCCGAGTAGGACAGACTTTTTTTAAAAAAGGACAGACTTTGTATTTGACTTCTCTGTTCTCCCCAAGAATTCACGGCCAAACATGGCTCCTATTCTCAGATTGACCCGCCTTGAACTTGAGTCCCCAAACCAGTTCGGCATCCCACAGAAGCAAGGACAGTTCTCGGTCATGATTGGGGTCGAAAGCCGGACGAACCGGTGGGAGCTTGAGGTATGAATTCACCACGTTAGATATTTCTGCCAGGCAGCCGGACTTGGACTCTCATCGCACAGGGAATCCGTTTTCGTGTTCATTTTCCGGCGCGGAAAACATGTTTAAGAGTTATGAGAAATTCATTGCACGCAACATCCCAGATATACCCGAAATTTCGTCTTCCCGGCCAACGACTCTCTGGAGAGCGCGCTTTGTTTCGCCGTCCGGAAAGAAGCCGGGATCGAAGTAAGTGGGCGCATAAGCAAGCAGCCTGACATGGAGCATTATGGATGGAAACTGGTGAACCAAGATTGAACGAACCACTTTAGTTGGACTTCAGTTATTGTTCGGATGTATGGACGTGTTGTCAAGACGAAGCTATGAAATATGACCCATTCCGGTCCAGGTTGTTTATGCAAGCCATAAGACGGGTGCAAGGCTACGACCTAGTCAAAGAAGACAGTCTATTAGCAGGAACAGCGTGGAGTAAATGAGGGTCCAAGACCTGAGTGTCCCTCATTGTCACATAATTCCCCTTTGCACCCTCTTTGTGCGCGACCTGCATAAAGAACGCGCATGAAAGCACTTGTCCGACTCTCTTATACACTTTTTTCTGATCAGACATGGTATTGACGTCCAACTCCAAGCGTTCCATTATTCTTTCAAGTTGACTTCGAGCCTTGTCGGCCTGTGATAAAGCATAGGCGGATAAGTAATGCCTCGAGGCCCAGTTTTTGTCAGAGAGATCTAAACCCGGTAGTGAATCGCGTTGTGGGCAATATCTCAAAATCACGTACGAGCTCTATACCGCACGTACACGTTAAGTAAGGTCAAATGGTCGCTGCTAGGAACAGTCAACAGTGCTCTGGCAGCATCTGCCTCTTTTTTCTGACCAACAGGCCGCCGCCACGGATGAGGTACTGCCTGTCGATGAGTACAGAAACAGCAAGATGGATAAATACATACCGGATAACATTGCAGCGATTGTCAATATTTCATTGCTACATCGGAACTCGGGACTGACTATCAGCATTTTAGCCAACTCAGCTCGGTATGTCAGTGCCAATCACAGCGAGAATGCGGATTAAGAGGACATACCTGTGGTTCTAGAGGAAATTCAGCCATTATTCTCCCCAACTCGGTGAGATTGCCGTCGCCGTCGAGGGCAGCGAGGTAGTTGAGAAGCTCCAGTGCCCTCATCAAGGTTTCTGGCGCAGGCGCATCCAAGTAATCAAACCTGACGAGATCCTGCCAGATAGTCCATGACCAGGGCACGGTCTGGGCAAAAATGATCAAGACGAACCTTGATCCCGAGAACGACCAAGTGCAACACCGTACTGCTCAAATTGCTCCTGATAATCTCGGGGGGTGTCTGCTCTTCTAGCTCAGAAACGAAATCCTTCTCCGTATAGAGCCTGAAACATTTCCCTGGTTTGGTTCGGCCGGCACGCCCAGCTCTCTGCTGAGCGGATGCCTTCGAAATCGGGCTGACTAGATGACTTTCCACTCGGATTCGGGGGTTATAAACTATTGGCTTCGAGAACCCGGAATCGACAACGTATACGACGCCGTCGATCGTGAGGGATGTCTCTGCAATGTTGGTGGCCACAATAACTTTGCGACCAGGGGGACCATCTGGCGTCCGCGGCGGTGGAGCAGGGTCATAGATTTTCCGCTGGCGTTCGGGAGAAAGAGACGCATAGAGTGGGATGCATTCCAGGGGTCCGACTGACCCAGGATCTTCGTCAAAAAGAGCGGCAGCTTCACGTTCAATTCTCTGGCACGATTCTTCTATTTCTTGCTCTCCTGTTAAGAAAAGTAGAATGTTGCCGGGATCCTCCGCACGGTGGATCATAATGACGGTACGAATCGCAGCCTCGACATAGTCAGGCTCGGGTTCCTGGGTATAGAAGACCTGTTCTAGTGTTCATTGTCCTATTTGAGCATACTAGGTTCAAACTCACTTCAATGGGAAAGGATCTTCCGACGATTGAGAAGATAG